CGGCGGCGGCGGCGGCGGCGGCGGCGGGAGCTTCAGCACTCGGCTCCACTTCCTCTTCGGCGCCGCCACTGCCTCCGTCGTCTTCATCATCTCCGTCGCCTCCGTCGCCGCCGCCAAGGGTAATGCCCTTCTCCGAGCCTTCATCATCTCCGCCGCCTCGCGCCTCCGCTGCCGCTGCGGCCTCCGTGCCCAGATCCTGGCGGAGGCGGAGTCGAAGCCCAGGAGACAGAGACACCCTCTCCGGCTCGGCTTCCCGGACATCACGGCATCCCGTTCCGATACCATCCTTTCCATCACGCAGCACGCCACGCACGTCATTGAGACGGCTGCCGCCACCACCCTGTAGCGCCCAAGTAGCGCGATCAGCGGCGGAAGGCGCCGCCGCCGTGGCTACACGGGCGCCGCCGTACAGTGAGGACGTGCCGCCACCGCCAGCTGTGAACCTTTTCGGCGACTTGGCGACTTCTCCAGCGACGGCAACAGCAGCGGTGTCGTACGACTGCCGGATACGCCAGGCCGCCCTCCTCCCCCTCCTGGTTCGACCTGTGATGGCGGTGGCTGCTGCTGCTGCGGCGGCGGCGGCGACGACGGCAGCTGCGGCGACGGCGACGGCGGCGGCTGCGGCGAGCCACTTCGCTGCTGTGGTTGCACAGGAATCACCGGCGCGCGCGCGGGGGCCAGGCGGCTGCCAGCTGTAGCAGCACCCGGTAGCCGCTCTCCGCCGCCGCCACCGCCGCCACCGCCTCCGCCACCGCCGCCAGTACCTCCCGACAGGTACGCCACAACGCCGCCGCCACCTCCGCTGACGTCGGACCTTGGTGCCTCTCAGCCGCCGCTTTCGCCGTCGCCGCCAACACCTCCGCCTGCCTCTGCTGCTGCGTCGTCGTCATCGTCGGCGGCGTCGGCGTCGGCGTCGGCATCGACCTTTCCCGGCTTGCAGCTGCGGCCTCAGCCCTGTAGATCCGCCGTACATGTTTTGCAACGTGGATACGACATATTCAGATCCGTACGACTCGGATAGCTGTTGAGTCAACATCTGCTGCTGCTCCGGCCGCTGCTGCTGCGGGACGCTGTTTCGCGACGGTGGCGGCGGCGTCACCGGCGGTGGTGGCTGTAGCCAGGATGCGGCGCTGAGCGAGCCGTCGCCTGTGTGCGCCAGCGCCGCCGCCAGGCTGGCCCGCGACGGCGGCGGCGGCGGCGGCGGCTGTTGCGACTGTAGCCCGGAATTCACTCCAGCTGACGGCACATTGGTGCCAATGGTGACGACTACAGCCGAGGTTGCGGCGGACGACGCTACAGAGGAAGACACGAGCGTGTTGGGCTGTAGCAGAAACGACCCACGGGTCCGTTCCTGCTGCTGCGAGAGCTGTAGCTGCGACTGAGAATCGAATTGCGAAACGGACTGCGAGCAGCGTGATCGAAGCTTGGCCTGTCGCAGCGCCGCTCTCAGCGCCGGTGGCACCATCATCCCCTCCCCCTCCCCCTCCCCCCGACTACCCCCACCCCCAACCCCCACCTACTGGCCCCCCACACACCCCGCAGCAATCGACCACCTCCCTCCCAGCCCCCACCTGCCGTATCGTGTTATCGTCCGCGTGTGCTGTAAACCCCGCGATGCCCTCTGAGCCCGCGGCCACCGCCGTCGCCGTCGTGGCGGCGGCGGCGTGGCGACGGCGGCGGCAGCGCTGACGTCATGACTTGGTACTCCATCGCCGACCGTCCCGAACCTGTAGCGGCGCCGCCGGCGGAGCTGTAGCTGACCTGTGCATTGCCGACGGAACCGGATCTTGGCGTGGACGAATCCGTAACCGGCGGCGTTTAGTGCCGCTGCTGCAGCGTGGTTGCTGATGCTGTTGTTGTTGTTGTTGTTGTTGTTGTTTGCCGCGGTAAGTCGGCGAGCAGGAACGCGCGCGGGGTGCGGGGTCGCAGGCGCCCCAACACCCCGGGAACTCCCCCGGTGGCAGATGGTACGGAGGCTGGTACGGCAGTGGCGGCGCCGGCGGTGGCGGCGAAGGGGCTGACGGTGGCGCCAATACTGCTCGCGGCGACGGCTTCCTGCCAGGTGCAACGCGGCGGCGGCGGCAGCGGTGCCGTCGGCGGCAGGTCCCTTGGCCGTACTTGCCTCTGCTCGACGGCTTCGCGTTGGAATGCTTGAACTGGGGCCTGTTCCTAATGACTAATAGCTCCTGCTGCTGCTGCTGCTGCTGCGCTAAGGCCTGCCGTTGCAGCTCTAAGGCTAAGGG